ATGCTGTTGAAAGGCCCTTGGACAAGATGTTCCGTATCTTTCACAAAAGTCTGGGTGAGAACGATAGGAGTGTTTCTAGGACGTTTTTGGAGATGTCTGATCTAGAGTTTGCACTGAGGACAATTTACGGGGACAATTCTAAGTTCTTGGATGGGCAAGAAGAGTTTCTGCGACTAGTTGTCGATAATCCTACCAAAAATGTGCATGCAACAATCCCATGCGGCTGTGGGAAGAGTGCAATTTTTTTTTTACTGGCCAAGGCTGCTGAGTTGACAGGCGTTCATGATGGTGTCAGTGTCGTTGTGGTACCGTATGCCTTTCTCTTGGATCATTTATTGGAAGTTGCTGCGAAACTGGGTGTGGAGGCAAGGGCAATATGTTCCTCCGATGTATGCAGGGGAGTGATTCCAGAGTCGGTGCCACCAATTCTAAGTAGCCTCCTGCCTGTACAGCCACCCCAGAGGTCATGAAAATGCCATCGATCGGTTTGCCCCTTGTGTTCCGGTGCTGAGTGGCAGCCGTTTGACCGGGGTGTCGTTGGAGCATAGCTTCCTCCATACCAACAGTGCGAAGACGTTGTTGAAAAGAAGAGGACTTAGTGGAGCTGATGTCCTCATTGGCATCGACCCCCAAAATTACTTCACATTCTTCATCGCGCCACTGGGTGATGGCTCGAAGTAGGTCCACCATAAAGGCCTCCCTTGGTTCACGCTGTTGACCTTGGGAGCGAAAGAAACTCTGGTGTTGTGCCCACACTGTAGACTCCCCAGTCCCCGGAGGGTTAGGTCGGTACGCAGACACCACAACCAAATCCCTAGAGAACCGACTCCTTGAAGCGTCGGAAGCTTCGTGAACTTGATCGTCTGGTGTGGGCATTGCAAACTTCTTGCCTTGGACGCGCACATATGCCCACCTGCCCAATTTAGTTGGGTCCCGACCAAAAGATTTTGCACGGTGGGCAACTGAGTTCAAGATAGTTGCCACACATCCACCATACTGTGAGCACGAGGCGATGGGACGAGCTGGGTTCTCATTGTGCACCGCGACCAAATAATATCCCTTAGATTCTACTTGTCGCATTCTATTGTTCCAGTGTTGACCTTCCAGAAGGGAAGGCCAGTGTGTGTTGGTCTCCGCCAACAACGCAGTCCCCACTTGTTCTTCTTTCAACCACTGGTTAATCTGTTGTTGTTTCCATCCGGTTGCTGAGGCGAGTGGACAACTGTAGATGACATCTGTGATTGTTGCCAAAAAAATCACCTGGGGAAAGAGAATTTAGAAATTCCTCAACTGATGCATGGGGAACACCCGTCGAGGGGCCACTCATTCTTGATCTTCTGCCTGCTCGCCGTGACCTAGCGGCAGACGATTGAGGGCCTCTCATTGCCCTGCCGTGGAGCGGGAAGCTCCACGGCCGGCCAATGATGTCTTCTTACCCTTCTTGCCCTTAACCGGGACGGAGGGAGGAGACTGTTGAGGGTGGCGGAAGATGGGGAAG